GAGGGCTCCTGGGGGGGTCCTGGGGGGGATCTATGGGGTCTGGGGGGCCCCTGGCAGGATCTGTGGCTCCAGGGCAGTCAGTACTGGCATCAGTGGGGTCTGTGGGGTTGGGGGTGACCTGTGCAGCTCAGGGGACAGCGGTGACCCCACGGTGACCCCTGTGCTCACCCGTGCTCACCTGTGGTGACTCCTGTGCTCACCTGTGCCCACCTGTGGCAGGAGGCCCTGCACACGTTCCCGCAGCTGCACGCCGAGCCCGGCGAGTCCCTGGTGCGCCTGCGCCCGGGGGGGGACCCCTACAACCGCAAAACGCTCAGCAAGGTCAAGAGGAGCGTGGGCAAGCCACAGGTACGGGATTGGGGGGTCCCTGGGGGGATTGGGGGGAGTGCTCACCTGTGCTCACCTGTGGTGACTCCTGTGCTCACCTGTCCCCTCCCCTGTCCCCTCCCATGCTCACCTGTGGTGACTCCCATGCTCCTCTGTCCCCTCACCTGTCCCCTCCTGTACTCCCCTGTCCCCACCTGTCCCCTCCCATGCTCACCTGTGGTGACTCCCATGCTCCTCTGTTCCCTCACCTGTGCTCACCTGTGCTCACCTGTGGTGACTCCTGTGCTCACCTGTCCCCTCCCCTGTCCCCTCCCATGCTCACCTGTGGTGACTCCCATGCTCCTCTGTTCCCTCACCTGTGCTCACCTGTGCTCACCTGTGGTGACTCCTGTGCTCACCTGGGCTCACCTGTGCTCACCTGTGCCCACCCATGCTCACCTGTGCCCACCTATCCCCACCTGTCCCCTCCCGTGCTCACCTGTGCTCACCTGTGGTGACTCCTGTCCCCTCCCGTGCTCACCTGTGCCCACCTGTGGTGACTCCTGTGCTCACCTGTGCTCACCTGTGGTGACTCCTGTGCTCACCTGTGCTCCCCTGTGCTCAACCGTTCCCCATCCCAATGCCCGTTCCCCACTGCCCGTTCCCCGCCCCATTCCCGCCGCACTGACGCTGTCCCGTGTCCCGTGTCCATTCCCTGTCCCCGTAGCCATTCCCTGTCCCGCTGACCATTCCCTGTCCCGCTGCCCGTTCCCCACCCCCTTCCCCACCCCATTCCCGCCGCACTGACGCTGTCCCGTGTCCCGTGTCCATTCCCTGTCCCCGTAGCCATTCCCTGTCCCGCTGACCATTCCTTGTCCCGCTGCCCGTTCCCCACCCCCTTCCCCACCCCATTCCCGCCGCACTGACGCTGTCCCGTGTCCCGTGTCCATTCCCTGTCCCCGTAGCCATTCCCTGTCCCGCTGACCATTCCCTGTCCCGCTGCCCGTTCCCCGCCCCGTTCCCCACCCCATTGCCGCCCCACTGACGCTGTCCCGTGTCCCGCAGACGACGGCCATCGAGGGCCGCGCCGAGGACCTGGGCCAGGAGGAGGTGGTGCAGCGCTGCATGCGCAACCAGCCCTGGCTCGAGCGCCTCTTCGACTCCTTCAGCGACCTCCTGGCCCAGGCGCGCGCCAAGTGCGCCTGACCCCGCGGGGACACCCCAGGGGCGCCCCAGAACGGGGACACCCCAGAACGGGGACAGCCCTGAATGGGGACACCCCATGGGGACACCCTGAATGGGGACACCCTGAAATGGGGACACTTCATGGGGACACCCCAGCGGGGACACCCCCTGAACGGGGACACCCTGAAACGGGGACACCCCATGGGGACACCCCCTGAGCGGGGACACCCCCTGAATGGGGACGCCCCAAGGGGGACACTCCAATGGGGACACCCCTGAATGGGGACACTCCAGAACGGGGACACCCCAGTGAATGGGGACACCCCAAGGGGGACACCCTGGAACGGGGACGCCCCAACAGGGACAGCCCTGAATGGGGACACCCCAATGGGGACACTCCAATGGGGACACCCCTGAATGGGGACACTCCGGAACGGGGACACCCCAACGGGGACACCCCGACATGGGAACACCCCAGCGGGGACAGCCCTGAACGGGGACACCCCAGTGGGGACAGCCCTGAACGGGGACACCCCAACAGGGACATCCCGAACAGGGACACTCCCAAATGGGGACACCCTCGACATGGGGACACCCCCTGAACGGGGACACCCCCACCCAAAAACGGGGGGACACCCCAAAACGGCGGGGGGACACCCCAAGGACAAGGACTGAACCTCCCGCCACGGGGACGGAGCTGCCGGGACGGGGACACCGATGTGGGGACACCCCCAAAAACGGGGACACCCCCTAAAAATGGGGACACCCCCCCAAAAAGGGGGTGACAGCCCCGGAACAGCACGGGGGGGACAAGGACAGATCCTCCCGCCACGGGGACGGAGCTGCCGGGACGGGGACACCGATGTGGGGGAGACCCCCCCAGTGGGGTGCCCCAAAATATGGGGACTCCCCCTAAAAATGGGGACACCACCCCAAAAATGGGGTGACACCCCCAGAATGGCGGGGGGGGGGGGGGAAGG